TATATTAATTGTTGCCATGAAATATCTTAATTTCACTAGAGTCTACTAAAAAAAATTATCATGTGATAACACACAACATTATTTGATATTAAAGTCTAATTTTACCTACAATATATGTTAGTAAATATATTCTCATAATTGTTAAAAAATAGAAATATAAATTTTAGCAACACACGGTATATTTTGTTAAATTTTATTTAAAATTATGTGTAAATATATACGTCTTAAATAAATTTATACCAACATATATTTTATTTATAGTGGCACTTTTTATGAATCACTGTATATAACTTTTTTTTTTGTGGCAGTTGCTCAATAAATTCCTTTTTCTTCTAGAATATATTGAAATAAAAGCAAAAGTTACTGTGACACCCTTACTACTCCAACACATATAAGAAATAAATTTTTCAACATTGGTAATATGGTTCACATAAAAACCTTCACAAATATTCTTCAATATCCAAAATGATTGAAAATGAACATTGGAAAAATAAAACATAAGAGCTTACAAATTATTTTTAAAAATAATAAATACAACTCCAAATCTATATAAAAATTTCATGTCCTAGAAATCCTCTATCCGGATGTCACAATATCATAGCATAGCCACAATTCAACTGTTGGCATTCTAGATGACACTCATAGCCGGATCTTCCTCACCTAAAACATCCACAAATTATACGGTGAGAAAAGAAAACATCTATATGTAAAGCACACAAGGAAAATCCACAATATCGTCTCATCATAACTCATTACTTAATGAAGTATTTACAAGCATTTATATATATCATAATTCTATCAATCATGCAACATCTTCACATCACAATTCACAATCACACCAATCCATCACAAATCTTGGAATTAACCCTATTCAAGGTCACGCCTGTAGCATCTCTTGCCCAAGGTCGTGCCACCCCCACATAAGCATTAATTGCCTCACACATACCACCCTATGCCAAGGTCACGCTTGTAGCATCTCTTGTCCAAGGTCGTGTCACCCCCAACATAAGCATGAGAAATCACACATCTTACACTATGCCAAGGTCACGCCTGTAGCATCTCTTGCCCAAGGTCGTGCTTCCCCCGACATAAGCATGAGGAATCACTCATCCCATACTATGCCAAGGTCACGCCTGTAGCATCTTGCCCAAGGTCGTGCCATCTCTAGTCATAAGTGTGAGGAACCACAATCACATTCACATTCACATTTCCACAACACATACACAAAATCCACACAAAATAGTGGTTCACATATTCCTCAAGCAATTCACCATGAATCCTCATCTACATCATCAATTTTTACCATATAATATAACAATAACATTTATACATTAATATAACACTCAATTGAATCACCAATTTACTAGAATCTTAACTCAAATAGTAAAACCCCCAATTTTTCCAAAACCTAACTCACAGGCACTTTTCTACAATTTCGTTCTCTCTCCCAGAGCATCATTTTTACCAATTTATCATATATTCATAATCCTAAACACATACAGAATCTCATGGGATCATCAATTCCTCAAACAGAAACAATTATAAAATTACCCATAATTCTAAGGACCCTTTCTCTACCTAATTCCTTCATGTAACTCTGCATACAAATAATCCCTTTTCTCCCGTACCTTGATAAGTAGTAGCTGAAACTAAAACAGAGATCTCCTTGGTCTCCTCCTCTAAGTGCCCCTCGGTCTTCAAAGAGTATAGAAGGAAAAGAAGAGAATGTAGAAGAAAGAAGTCAGAACTGAAAAGTGTGATTTTTAGGAGTGCCAAAGCGCTCTATTTATAAGCATCAGGAGTGCCCGGAATGACCCGTTTTAAATTCAGAACAGCTTGTTCTGGACTCTGACGGCATGTGTAGAATTTCACATCCAGAACGGCCTGTTCTGGGATTGCATTTTAACCCATAACGGTCATATTTAGAACAGCTCGTTCCCAATTAGGGTTACAAGCCTTTTTGGTAATTTAGAATGCCCCGTTCCCAACTAAGATTTGTAGGCAATTTTAGTATTTTGGAATGGCCCGTTCCAATTCGGGAATGGCCCGTTCTGAGATACTAAATCACCCTCGTTTTAGTAGTTTGGAACGGCCCGTTCCTGTAACGTAGTTTCAAAAAAAAAATTCAGTAGCTAGAACGAACCGTTCCCAAATTGGAACGGGCCGTTCCAAACTACTGATTTGGCCTTTCAAAAATGAAGGAGAACGGCCGTTCCGGAGGGA